GTGAACACTTGAACATAATGAAATGAAATAAAATTAACATCGCAAAGCTTTGAGTGCTGTCGAAGTCCGTGATGATGATATAGGGGTGGCGGATTGTAAACAGAAAAGTTGGCAACTTTTGCAGGGCCAAGGACCTCGCGTTTGCTCCTTTCAAACGATCTGCATCGTTTGCATAATTTTTTTATTTTCATGGCAAACTAACAAAGTGGGTTACGAGTTCCGTTGAATTTTCTCAAAGCCTGCTATGTTGGTACACCAAGTAATCTCTGGCCTGAAGGCAAAGCGTGCAGCTGCTTTAAATATTTATCTGCCTTCTTAACAACCCTCTAAATGAAGTCTATGTGATCATTTGACTGTTATGATTGCTTGCCAGGCAACTTGGCAGACAAAGTACACAAAATGTCAACTTGCTGTCTGATTTAATTAAGCCTAATTAGACTTACCCTTGAACGCCTCAAAGCAGCCAGCCAGTGCAGCTGATTAAGTTTAATGAGTTTTTCCAGCAATTTCCACTTGACACGCTGCATTTCCCAGAAAATCGCTTAGGACATGACAAAGGCAGCCAACTAACATGTAACCCTATTCAGGCTTTAATTTGGCATTAGCTTTCGCGCAATAAAAGACGGGGAGCTGGATGAATTGGCAAAAGGTTGGCTTAACAAAGAGGCAAATGCCACCCCGGCTTGTCTAACACGCAATTGTTAATCCATGGAGTTGGGCTTTTATACAGCCTTGTTATTTATTGCGTCTCCTTGAAAACACCTTTAATTTGATCATGACTTTACGCATTTTTTGGCTTTGTTGTAACTTGACGGATTACTTGCAACGTAATCGATTATAACTTCAAAAGGCGAAATCTCCTTTCAAAAATCTTTGGTTGTTTATTCAGTAAAAAATAATCTTGAGCTGGAAAAGCAAAACACAAATTTATTATAGACTTTACGTTAAAATGGTACGTAATATGTAAACAAATTTACCTTTTCATTTTTAATATTTGCTTATTTTTTAATCTGTAAAAAACCATCCGATGTTGGTTCTGTTGATTTTATTTGTTTATTAAGTCTTTCCGTATTAGATACTGAAAAATGTTGCGTTTGATTTAAACGTTTAAATAGCGAAGAAACATTTTTGATATACGCCATACTTTAAAATTGGATTAAACTTGGAGTTTTAATCCGTTTTCAGAAAAAAATACAGGCTAAGCACGCCAAACATTTTTCCGCTGAATTTAATTGCCGACTAGGTACAAGGTTTGTTTTTTTATTAATTGTAAAAAAATGTAAGTATCTGGTAAAAAAACGTAGTAAATCCAAAAATTGTATATTCAATATAAATATTTTATTTTAAATCATTTTCAATATACAAATATTAAAAAATTGTTTTATTTTTGGAAGCGATTTAAATGTGATTGAAAAATTATTTAACTCAAAAAAATTCTCTTAAATCATGTAGGAATAATTTCACATTTAATATCAATATTTATTTTATTATTTTTATTCTTACTAATCCACTTGTTTATCAGCGTAGTCAGTCGATACTTGTTTAAATAAAATCTTTTATTGGAGATTTAGTCAATAAATCCCATGACAATTTACGAAAAAATGCTATAGCTCACAGAGAATACAGATTTCTTTGGTCTTAAAACTTTACTCAACAATTGCAAAGCTGCCAAGGTGTAAACACCAATGAAATGTATTTAATCAACCACTTAAATTATCGGTTTGAAAGAATAAACTACTTTCAGATGAAACTTTCGCTCTGAGCGAAGCAAAACAATTTAAATTACGCTTCGCGAAATGTCTGTAGCCGAACACAAAGAAGTTTCAGTTGGGAATAAGCAAAGAGCCAAGAGGACCGGCAAAAATGCCAGGAAGCTTATATAATCAAGCATAAATCTGAATTGTGCACAATCATAACTTGGCTGTCACTTGCCAGAACAAAAGAAAAAAAAAAACCGTCAAATCCCGGGAGTCGACCGAGTTATGGGCGTATCTGATTTATCTGTTTTATTTTTCCTGAAACTGCTTTCGCCAGCGAGTGGGCAGTGTTATAAATGCTTTCTGTGTAAACTGTTAACCGCATAGATTTCTGCGAAACATCGAATCTCGGGTTACGCAAGTAATCCAATCTGCTCTTGAGTGACCTGCAAAGCTATTTTCCTGATTGCTGTCAAATAGATTATGTAAAGTGAACACACCCTTGTGAAAAATTTCAGTTAATTCGATTGGACACTCCCTGTAGTATTTTTCTACCCGGCAAATGCAGTTTATATATATACCTGCATGATTAATTGGTGTCCAGCATGGACGAACACGCTCTTTGACAGGTGTCGCCAGGATGTCGCAACACGCTGTTTTAGCGGCATCCCATAAAGGGGGCGCACTTTTGATTTACGATTGACTATATCGTGTCTGCCTTTGTGCTAGAAATACAAATGGAATAAAGGCAAAAAAAATGGAAAAAACGTAATAAATAAACCACCTTTTCCTAGGCAGTGTCAGTGGGATTTGCCTTTAACCGCAAGGCATGGCACTTATACTTCAAACGAAAGCAAAGAATTTAATTTAACAGGCAAGGTTTGCAAATTATTCATCGTTTCGAGTGTGTGCGGATTCCTTACAACTGGAAATTGTTCGAGGTGTAGACATTTTTTTCAATTTGAAAAACCAATAAATACCTTTGAAAGAACTGTAAAATATTTAAATATTAATATAAGTGTTGATTAAAAAAGTTACGGAATTTCTGTAGTAAACTATTTACATTACCAACATTTAATTAACTTTGTAACTGTAACTTTTACCATCAAACTATGTTCTGTTTATTGCAGCGAAAAGGCAAGTCCTGCAATTTGGCCCAGGAGTGTAATGTAACCATGCGAAAGAAAATGGACAAAATATTTAAATATAGGAAAAATCACAAGTGAAAAGTTCTTAAAGGCCTTGTTGCTGTGCTAAAAAGTCTAGAAACTAAAAATACAATTTTTTGCCAGCCTTCTTCGTATCAACTATGTATGTGTTATAATAAAATTAAGTTGATGTTGACATTCAAGCAAGTCATTGAAAATAATAAAAAATGTAAATGTAGCTTACCAACAAGGACTTCTAAATTAAAGCCGACAGCCAAGTCATCCAACCCAATATATCATGCATATGGAATTAAACGAAAATTCACTTACAGTTTTTTGCCCTGGCGACAGTTGCCGGTTGTTTGATTTCCATCTGAATTGAAACTTGCATTATGCTAATAATCTCGGATGGGTTCAGCGCAGTTCAGTTGTGCCTACTTGCTCAGAACATGTCCTTGGTGTAATTGTAATGATTGTTATTTGATTTCTTCTTTATTGGCCGGTCCTTTACGGTCGGTGGGCTGTGGAACAAAGGCTCCATTGTCGTCGAGCAGGCATCTTGTCCCCTATTTCGTTTATGGTTATAAGTTAGTGGGCTCCGTGAGCCATCAATTTTGATGGCTAAGCCCACGCAGGCACATTTTGCTTGAGAAAAGCTTCAAATGCCGGAAAAACTGTCACCCATCACATCATCGAGGTTAATGTCGCGTGTCCACAGCTCACGCATCTTTTCACATCGCCCCCTTTGGGGATCATTATGCCCATCGATATATACCATATATTCGCACATGGCAGGCAATCTGCTTACCTCAAGAGTTTTTCCTCAACTTTTCCATTATCCAAGATGAGCGAAAAGTTTGGGGTAAATTCAGTTAAACCGATAAATGTAAACCAAACCACCTGCTAAACTCCAAAAAAGCATTTACTGGCACTTTGCATATTATATGTGGGGGATGATTAAACTGCGTTTGATGATGCGAAAGGATTTTATGTTAGCTGCTTTTTTTAGCATACATTTTGGGGCAGCTCGTCTCTGTATTAATTGGTTGTAATTACAAGTTTAATATATACCATATGTGCTAGTATTAGTATTGGGTGTGATATTTCGTAAATTCGTGTGTGGATTTAAATTATTCCTGATAATAAAAATACTAGCACACACCATTGGACACTTCACGGATTATTTTTAATTTCTACAAAAATATAACTAATTATCGTGATTGATAATAATAGGTGACCGTTTTATATTTATCCTATTGTTATAATTTTAATGCTAATATATTGGCTTTTTAATTGTTGTATAACAAAGGTGTTTTTTAACGAGTCCCGCAAAATATCCTCCCTAAACCTGATTACTTAATTTTAATTACATAACATGCAAAATGCAAATAACTACGCACATAAAAGGTTTACCTTCTAATAACACAATAAACTCATTGAATTAATTGTTCTCTGTTGTTTAAATTTGTTGTCCACCAATCAATAAAGCTAATGTAATGCCTATGTGTATACTATACTCCGACAAACCTGTTAGAAAAGTAAACGCAGTCATTGACTGATGGCTAATGGTTAATGTCTGATGGTAATTGATATCCTCACCATATGGCGGGAATTTTAGCAATTGAACCCTCTACTCAAAAATCAATAGGGCATATTGGTTATGCTAAACACACCAATAGTCATTTAAGTTTTACAATTTGTAATAGAAAGTATTTCCATTTATTTTGAAAAAGTTATATAAATCTGGTTTTAGAAACATGTAAATATAAACATTTAAATTATTTTCAAGTTACTATTAAATTCCGTTTTTTTATGCCCAATTGTCGTCAGCAATAATTCAATAATAAAAATATTTTTTAACCTTACATAGCATATTATAGCATAGATGAATAAATATCTTTAACAAGGTGAGGTAAAAAGGAGCCTCTATTGTTTTTTAACTAAGTCAAATTACTACAAGTATTAATATCGTTCTACCAATTTCTTAATTTTCCTAACACACAGAGTTTAAAGTTATTTTATGGGTATTTTAAAGTCGAATCAGCTTTTTAAAGTGACCCTCACTTACGTTTATTAACTTGTTGTCTGAAATTGATATTTATCAGATTTCCAAAAAAAAATGTTGTTGTTTTATCTGTCTGCTTCTATTTTTTAGCACGTTCTTGTGGCGCCATTTATTTGCATAATTAAAGCCGTTCGGCTAGATGGTGGGCGAGATTAGAAGTCGCTAAGATGATGGCAGGTAAGTCGCGTCTATTTATATTGGTTTTGCAAAGGGGGGCCCTAATTTGCAATGCAAATCGAAGCGAACCGAATAGAATCGATGTAGTTTATAGGCGGTTAACAAATTTATGCGAGCGGCGCATGCGAGAAATCTTTCTCTGTCTCGAAATTGATTGGGCTGGTCTTCTTCAAGTTTGCCACCCAGTTTTCTGCATTCCACTGGGAATTCCTGATCGAGATAAACTTTGTTTTGCCAGCTGTTTAGCTGTTTAGCTGTTCAGCTGGGCAAGATGCTGGCTCTGAGCCAGTCGTAAAAAAGGCTCGTAAAATGCCATTGTCATGGACATATAACTAAGCCGTCGCCGACCACGTAAACTAATTAATTAATAGGGCTTGCCAATAAACTTGCCAAAGCGGAACTACTTACTATGCACCAATTAGGGAACAATTAGCTGAAAAGTAAATACAGCTGTCGTTTGGGAGAATGGAGAACGTTAAATGGATATTGCAAACTCCGGAGTATACATATGTTTGTGAAATAAATGTGTGTACCAAACTTATACCATAATGCAGACCAAAATACCATTAACAGTAAAATATTTTAAACATCGCCTTCAACATAAAACAAAAAATTTACCAATTTGATAGCGAAATTGGTCAAGCGGAGAAATAATAATCCTATTGATAACATATTTTTTCAAACGACCAAAAAATACATTTTATTTCTGCAGACCTCTTTTTAATTGTAAAATTGGTTGAATAAAAAGATTTTTGTAAAAAAAGGATTTTTTAACATAACCAGAACGAGAAACTTTATAACAACAGAAATAGTGTTCCCGCAACAAAAATATAATATGAAAATATTTTTGCTTTCACAGAATTTATTAAGGAAAGATATTTGATTTCCAGCATTGAACGTGGTTTCGTTTTATTTGGCTTGTTTGTATTTAAAAATAATTTTCATATTGAGAAACACAGAGAAAAACAAAACAGTTGGAAAAAAAGCTTTTAATATCCAGCGGACTATGGTAAAAAAGGCAATTTGTTTGGCATAAACATAAGTTTCAAAGATAGCATATATAATAATATATATAATAATCAGTGTCCCTTATTTTTTATTTAATTAGGGGTAACAAACGAAAAAATTACTTTCATGGTCATTTTTTGTTTGTTTTAAAAATGACGAAAACGGTGCGAAATTTATGAAGGCTCTTGATTTTTTATTTTAGTTTTTCATTTAAATAAAAAAACTTGCGTGGGTTCTCGTGTATTCTGAACTAAAACTTCACAGAACACAAAGAATTGTGTAAGTTTCTGCTTTATTGGACATATACCAAATATTGAATAATTGGATGATACCAACAAGTACATTATCTTCACTTATCTACACTTGTCACGTCTTCAGAAATGTCCTAGAAAAAATTATATTTTTGCTCCCAATTTTTAAGTAAATCAATTTGTAAAATTTAAGTGTTAGAGCATCTGGTGACACAATTTATTTCCTGGTTCGAGTACGTTTAATTTAGGTATAGTTCCTAAGGCACAAGTTGTGACCAATTTACTATCCAAATATTCTGCTTCTGTCCATAATAAATGTTTCTGGGGCTCACGGTACATGTGTGTGTCATAAAAAGAAATACGGGAGCGTATAGGTCGGTATACACGTATATGCAACCATATGCACACGTTTTTATGGCCGACTCGGCAATTCATTTCACTTGGCTAGCTTTTGAGTGTTTTGTGCGAGGCGGACTATTTGCATTTTCCCCGTGCACTTATCTAAACTGCATTTATGGTGGGGCTTTGCAAATATGTAATATCGGCGGAGCTTTAACTTTGGCATTGACATTGGCATCGAGGCTTTAAGCCCATGGCTCAATGTCGGTCGTATCGCGAGATAACAATATTGCATCTCTCAAGTGTTCCGGCCACGAACAGTCGCTTTTTCCCAGACTCAAGAGCTAGCCAAACACTTGAGCATCTTGTGCAGCAGAATGAGATTCCTTTAGGGAAGATTACTTTGGCATAAGCATATGACTTGGTAATCCACTTATTATCAAATTGTCCTTGAAGCGAATTGCGGGGAAAAGGCGAATGACCAGAAAACTTCTGGTACAGCGATAAGTCACAGGGCTGAATAAAGTTTACTTGAGTTTACTGGGTAACTCAACTTTAGTTGAGCTCTGCATCTGCTGCCACCAAAATGTGGCAAAGTTTTGTGCACTTCCCCAAAGCGGAAATCCTCTTCCGGCCACGAAACTCATCAAAGCAAAAGAGCTCTCACAAAACAGTTTGCCTTGGAATATAAACGATAACTGTGCAATCCAAATTTATAACCAAAATATAACAATTAAAACAATGTTCTGGACCGAAATTTGTAACGCTTTGCTTTGCATCAATTTTGTTTGTTATAAGTAGATTCCACTTTTTGGTGAACAAATGCTACAACTTCAGTAAGTAATGGTTAAATCTAATCCAATTTCCCAATCGCTTCCGGCTAAACTGTAATTTTTTACATACTTTTCAAGTTCACCAACATTTTTGGTGCCATCAAATTTGTTTAAGCTTTATTTATTTATTATTTATTTATATTTTCATGGAGTATTTTTTTATATCAACATTTATAATATTTTCAAAAATATTGATAAAAACATAGTGTTATATTTGTATTTTAAAAAATAAGTAGATACTGAAAATATATGTATTCCAATATAAAGTGCATCTTGAAAGCTAAAACAATATTTTTAAACCTAATTTGTGCATTGGTAGCTTACAACATTTTTTCAATGCCTTATAGAAATGCTTTTGAGCTCTTTACATTAACCCACAAATATCAGCGCAATTCTCAGCATCAATTAATTTTTTGGTAAATATGAGACTCTGCTTTGCAATTATCATGTGTTTCATGTCGAATTGGGTTGCAGAGCAACCTTTGGTATATTCAAACTTTTAGTTAGTCCACAAATGAATATCTGAAATCGGCTGCTAGTGAAAAGTTATTTGTACTGGTTTAACGTAAAATTTCATAAGAATTTATTTAGCCATTTGTTAAAGGTAGTCAGGTATGTTTAGGTAGCAGAGTTGGTATTTTAGAAGTGGGCCACAAAGGTGTTGGGGTCAATCACATGGGCCACCTCCCACGGGTGGACAACCGAAGGTCCTGGAATGCGGTTGTAAGCAGCTGAAAAACATAATAAATAAAACGAAGTAGAGGTCGATCTGATGACAGTTCCTCTGAACTATTTGTTACCCAACTCACCGATTATCTTTTGGATGGCGGTCTGGGCATCCAGCAGCTGAGTGGGCGGGGCGGGGGCAGCGTTGCCAAGGACGAGCCAGATGGCTATGAAAGCGAAAACGGCGGCGAGGACTTTCGACATTCTGCGGCTTTGGTTTTGATATTCTGGAGGTTTGCTTGGCGTCTAATTAAATCTGCTGCGACCGCAGCTATTTATACTCGAAAAAACCGGGATGAATGAAAGCCAGCATCGCGATAAAAAAGAGAAGACCGTAGTGGCATGAGCATCTCGTTCTGGAGCAGCTGTTTAGAAATTTGCTATCTTGTTTTGGTTTTTGTGGCCGTCCAATTTCTACAGATATTTTTAATCCGGGGAATATCCGCACCTGAAGCCGGAAAACAAGTTTCGCAAAAGAACAAACGATTTGGGGCGAGAATTTTAAACACCTCGAAGGAAAGCATAACAATGCAGAATAATTTTCAAAAAAACTAATGCGAATATATAATCTTTTTGAATATTAATAGTTTCGGTAAAGGTTGTATTTCTCATTTTGCACAACGAAAAATGTGAAGAGTATTATTTATATATATTTTTGCAAATAAAGAAAAACACCTGAAAATTTTAAATGATTCATTTTTTCTCGGTTTTAAATGTGATATGAATTCCGATACATTTTTTATGTCACAATAAAAATTATCTTAAATTCCTGGTAAAAATACGGTTTTAACGCCTTTGTGATTTGTGCAATTAGTGTGTAGCATTAATATTCCGCATAATACAATACATCAGCATTTTTCATTTGTGTTCCTATTTTCTAGAGGAAGGGAATCAAAAAGTTGACATCAACAGTTAAATGAATTTAAATTGTGTATCTTCCTTCTGAATAAATTAGACTTAACACAAATATTTTGCATACGACAGTTCATTGTACGAATTGAGCTAAAAAATCTCTGTTTATGTTTTGTTTTGCTTTCTTCTTCTTTTTTGGGTTATTCTATAGACGGTTTGGGCATTTCCAACTACCTGAAAATATGTCGGCCACATGAAAGGGGCAAGTAAGAGAATCGTCTGGTTATTTGTCGCCATTTGTTGTTTGTTGTTTGATGGTGATTTATAAACAAACCGGTTCGACTAATTTGCCGCTTGGACGGGGGCCAAAGGAAAGTAAAATTTGTGGTATATTCTTCGTTTCATAAATTACGTCAACTTGGGAATTTCATCTTAGCATGGCGGCAAATTAAGAAAAATGTGCCGCAAAATTGTAGGCAATTTTCTTAACTTCTTAAAACATTTTGCCATGTATAAGTATATATCAAAATTGATTGGAATTGGAATTTGACAGAGGGAGGCGCTTTTTTTTGTGGCCGTCTTTAGTAATCAGTTTAAGACGTGTATGGCCAAAAAATACGTGTAATGCTTATGCACACACGTGCTCAGTATTGACAAGATTGTCACAAGGGTAAATATATTCTGATAACTTCGTGTTTGCCTGGAGAAAGGAATCCCGGATAAAAAATACAAATAAATAGGGGGAGGCTCCTTTTGACACATGGCAATTGTTTACGGGAAAAACCTTTTCATCGGATGGGTGGCGGCTAATGAGGCACCCGTAAAGCCTCTTATCACTACGTTTATTGGGCCTGTCGGACCGGCAAATAATTGTGATCTATGGCATCGAACGAGTGCGAACGAGTGGGTTTATGTTAATAACACTGAGCCCTCTACTTAGCCCTATTCATAATTTGTATTTGTGTACTTTTATCTGCATATTCAGCCGTTCAATTTGGGTCGTGCGCAAATCGGCCTCCCATACGGCACCTTCTATTCATGGATATATATTATGGCTTTGTGTATTCAAGTCCCGAGAAAAACGAGGCAAAATAGCTAAATAAGAGCTAGGCGTAAACATATTACCCCAGGGCTTTTTAAATTATATGTTCATAAATTAGTACTTTCCTCTTTTTTCTCTCACGAGATATTTACTCTCCCGTTTAAATTTCAACAATGTTTGTTTTCGTTTTAGTCAGACACACGCTGCGTATGCTTAATATGCCAACGGATTGGTAATTTGATAAATGTTTCATTAATTACAGAAACCATTAGCAGGCAATAGGAGTCACAAAAAGCAAAAGATGATAGCCTTATATAACTGAAAATGTCAAACTGTTACACGTTCTGCATAAAGATAAATGGTAGCTAGTAGATAATTAAGGATCTCAGTAATGCGTAATTAATATGGCTTGTTTTTTCATTTACAAGTGGGAGCTGCCAAGAAAGTGTGTTAGATTTTATTAGGTACAAGTATAGCACTCCTTGATGTTGATAAATCGACTCATTTGTCAATGCATTTGCAGCAAAGTCAGCGATGCAGTTTAATTGGAATTTTGCCATTTATCTCGGATTTCAAGGAAGGAGAATAAGTCACTGGAACACAGAACACAACAAGTCAATCATAGAATATTTAAAGCATTTTCAGTGCTCATACACGTGTCGATTTGAGTTTGTAAATTAGATTTCTCATCATGTCAGAGACGTGCTAAAATGATGGATCCGATGCTCTTAGCTGCCAGACGCAAATCCCATTATTGGAAAGTTCGTTTTGTTGGCAGGTTGTAAGCTTCTGCCGAAAAGTTGGCCAACTAACATGAAGTTAAAGAGCTTCATGGCAACCTAGCGAAATGTTATTTGCGATTCCATGGACACAGGCCAAGCAATTAGGTTATAAGTTCCACTTATATTAACACTTGACTTGGTCCAACTTTAAATGAATAACTTTTAGATAATCCAACGACGTACTTAAGCTGAATTATGTACTGATCCTATTAAACATGTATGAGATTTCTTTGAGAAAAATCATGGAAATTGACCACGTTATAAGCTGAAACGTTGTGCTAGTCTCTTAAGGTTGCCAGAAACGAAACAAAGGAGACCAGGTCTTCAACAAGGCCATTTAATTAGCTGATGGTTGAAAATGCAAATTAAGTCAAAGCCAAGTCTAATCTTTACGCTTGTACCTTTACACTCCTGATTTCATTGCGGAGATGGTTTCCATCTGTTGGTTATGCTTATTTTAATTGGACTGCACAGTTGGGTATAATTAAGTGGCACAAATAGTGTTTATGTAATTTAATCATCATATAACTCTATGTAGTTACGCACAAATGGGTGTTTTGCACACATTTAAGTGACTGCAAAGTTATTTAAAGTTAGAATTGTACTGTTTTACTCAGATGGCATGCATAATTAAAATCTCAACATAAAAAAAAATGTTAAGAACTTAGCTTCTTAATTAAAAATTTAAGGTCTGCTATGATTATCTTAGGTTTGCTGTGGGCGAACTTTTATTACTTGACTGAACTCCAGTTGCCATAGACAACAATGCTCACGCGACATCTTGAGCGAATTACTTTGGCCCTATTATATCCTGTACTCATGAAGTAAATGGGTATATTGCATTTGGGCATAAGTAAGTAACAAAGATTGTGTACCGTAATCAAAGATTTAATAAATTTAACCAATTCACATATTTGCAATTGCGAAATATATAAAACAATTCAGGGAGAAAAAGTCAAACGTTCCCTATTGATATTTTGCGAAAAGATTATATTCAAAAATTTTACAGCCGACGTTTTATTTTGTGACGTAAGAAAATCATCCAATCAAATTTTCAAGTTGACTGCTCATTTCAGTGAGTACAAATAATCGTATGGTCTTGAGCATCTAAAATGACATTTGATGGCTGTAAAAACTCTTGTAATTACTGGGTATTAAATATTTATACGCTCATAGGAAAGGAGAAATGAAGGTCAATGTTCTACCAATCCTTAAAGTTCCAAAGCTAAGATAAAATGGAATCGTTATCATATTTTTATGAAATTTGCTTACCTAAACATATCTTTATTTTGACTTTTTATCGTCTTTGCACTTTATTTGTTGTTATTTAAATTTAAATAATGTTGTGCAACTTAATTTTTATATCCTTTATATATTTTCATTTTAAGTAACTTAAAAAAAAGTCACAAAAAAAAAATGCCAAAAATGCGCCGCAAACTAAAGTTATAAATGAACCTAACAAGAATGTAGCATCGCTATATCTTTGCTTTTGTCAAATGGATATAATTTAAATAATTTTGAAGCCATATATAAGAGGTGTAACAACCTGATGAAAAAAAGAAAACATTTTAAGAGTTTCAGAAAGAATAACTCTTATAGTAATTTTATACAAAATTTAAAAGCACCGACTTTGGAAATGTCATTCATGGAAAAATCAACTCAATTGCAGTAATTTCGTCAGTTTAGCTTGCAATCTTGAACCAACCATCTCGAAATATTTATATTTTATGCATATATTATTTATAAATAAAAATGATTATAAATGTTAAAGCCGCACCTTTAAAAAATTTCAAACTTAAAGTGACGAAATCTTCTGTTTTATCATTTTTCACTTATAAATGCCCTGTTACTTTCGATTAAATATGCTTATTTAAAAGTCGTCTTAGTGTGCGTTTTTTCCGTGGGCCACAGCTTTAAATGTACAAAATTGTGTGTCTTCCTTCGTATGTGAGAGAAAGAGACGTTCGCAGGAGGCTTAATATCCTTCCCCATGGACCATATGCTTTCTGTTTGTCTTTGGGATGCGACAATCATGCATAATTAATCACAGAGTGACGCCGACGGGATTTGAATTGTGCCCGTGTATTGTGTGCTGTGTATGTTGTATGTAGTATGTGCCGGTTGACATGGCCGTGCTTTTTTATCACTGCCACAGACGCCTAGCCGCTATATTTATCTTTTTGCTTGGGTTCCTCGGTCCTCTGTCGCTGCAATCTGGTGTCATAAGCGATTTGGTCCGAGACAAGTTGAAGGCCTAAGGAGGAGAAGGTAAGACCTTTGGCGGGAAAACGATGTTAATGTCAAGTATGTTCGCGAGCACGTCTTGCTGCGATAATTGTTGACGTAAATCATGCAGAAGAGCAACAGAAATAAGGCCCCAGACAGACAGCACCAACAACAAAACACATCCGCAAAAAAAAATGATATTGTGATGCGAAAAATCAATTTAAACAGAGAATTTTCTAGGTTCAAATATCGATAGGAAATATTGTTCATCAAACAATATTTTGTACATGTTGGAAATATCATTTTCATATATTAGGATTAAAATAACTTTTGTCAAAATATTGAATCACATTATAAAAAGGCAAATTATTTTAAATGAAAAGTTTTTCCAACGAGTAGCTTTTTCAATTAATAAGAAATGCCTTATATTTATCTATTGGTTTTTTTTTTATTTTTAAGTTGTCTAAAAGTAAGCTGTGAAAAGCTAAGCTTTGTCCTTTGAATTTAAGGTTTCATATAAAATATATATGTAGCATACTTTTATATTCTTTTAAAAGTGATGTCCTGAAAAAAAAAACATTCTTAACTAAGGTTGGTTTTTTTTTTTTGACAGTGCATTGAAAGGACCTGTCGCCACTTTCTGAAGCTTGCGGAAAGTGACATCCGGAAAATCGGGCGCATTAGCGCGGACATATTTCTTGGTGGCCGCAGCACATAATTGAAATAAATATCAAGTGCGTGTCATCCCAGATTTTTGGTGGGTTGGAAAATATGGGGGTGGCACTTTATTGAAATGTGTTTGCTTATTTGAAGACAAACACCAACAAAGTGGCTGCCGCTCTTGCAGTGGGAATTGATTATAATGGAAATATTTACCATTCCGCACAATTCTCTGCTCAGCATTTGGTGACTGGATGGTGAAAATTTGAAAGCATTGTAAAAGCCGAACTAAGTGCTTGGGAAAAGTGCGGGAAAAGGAAAACACAAAGTGTTGAATGGTTGATGCCTCAGATGTAAGAAAAGAAGCATTTCTCAAATTAATGCGCACAACAGCGGGCGGAAATATTATGCAAATCACGTAATTTTTATTTCGCCGTGTTGAAAAGTCAAGACGACATGCTTTTTGTTTCAAGCAGATGGTTACGTTGGGGGGTTTCATATGAGAAGGCCTTTTGTTTAACCCACTTTTTTTTAAAAAACACGCGCGTAGAAGGCTCTTTAAGTTAACGGAAATAAGGGTAATACTTAAAATGATGGGTTATTTTGACCTTTATTATAGTTTCATGATTTATTGCAGTTTTCTGGAAATCTAGCACCTTTTGTTTGGTCACTTTTTTAAATCATCCCCTTGCCTTACATTTCAAATTTGCGCGCCCTGCATGCAGCCCTGTGCTTGTTATCGATTGCCAGCGGGCATGCGCACTACTATCGATAGTCGATGACAAACAGCTGTGTACCTATACTTATCCAATATGGCTGCAAGTAAAAAAATGTAACGCTGTGAAAAATTGCAACTCAAATTGCATTTTCTGCTCGAAAAACCAAATAGAAAAGTGCCAGGAATGTGAATTAGTGACGAGGAAGTCGAAAACTTCCCGAAAAACAAGTGCGCGCCAAGAAATTCGAAGGGAAAAGTGCTGAACACAAAAAGTTGCCGGTGCCCCGCCAAAAAAAAGAAGTCGCCCCCGCCTCTTCGAAAAAAAAGCGTTTCTGGAAAGGAATCAAGATTCATAAAGTTACAATGGAAGCCGACATAACGCCCTCGGCGGAAACGAATGGGGAGCAGCGTGAAAATCTCCGCGAAAATGCTGAAAATCCCGAGCAACAGCCCCAGGAGCTGGCCAAATCCCTGGATTCCGCCGACGATGGCGTCTCAGGAGCTGTGGGTCAGATTATAGACTACCTAGAGGTGCGGCTGGCTTAAAAATTAAAAAAAAACTTCAAAGCAAGGGACTTATATCATATTTCTTTAAATTTCGTATTTCAGGACGATGCCGGCGCCGCTGCGGATCGGGAACAGGAGGCGGAAATGGGCGAGGAGGAGTATCTGGATGGTGAGATGCCGCAGGAGAAGGAAACTCAAGGATTAGATGACTTGCAGGGGGAGAAGGCCGAATCCCCCGCTCCAGAACCAGCCAACAAGGTAGATTTACCCCATACTACAGATGAAAATGAAGATTTAAAGCAGAAATCTGGAGAGGAAGGTGAAAAGGATGCTGAGCAAGAGAAGGAAGCCCCGTCATCGGGTGGAGAAGTTGCCACAGACAAGCTTGAAGAAGATGCCACATCTGAAAAAGATGGGGAAGAAGCTGGCCCGGACAAAGAAAAAGGACCAGACGATGAATCAGCCATCGAAGACGGTGAAGAACCCAACGAAGATGGTGAAGAAGCCATCGATGAAGACGAGGAAGGTGACGAGCCCACCGAAGAAACAGAGGAAATTGATCAAGAATTCGAGACCGCCACCGATGCCGAGGGCGAACTTATCACCGGCGATGAGCCCGGCGAGCTGGGCGAAGTAGCTCCCATCCGCGAGCGCAAGAAAGAGGAGCCCGTGGATGAGAACCAATGCCGTGTCTGCACCAGCAAGGAGGAGCTAGTCGACCTGTTCAAGAAGCAAATCGATGCCACGCCCGCGGACATGCTGCTGGTCATCTGTCCCAGTGTCTCGATTCTGCCCAAGGACTTCATGCCGCAGTTCATATGCACCAAGTGCATGGGCAGCCTCACCATTGCCATACAGCTGAGGAAGCAGCTGGAGACCACCGACCAGGAGCTGCGCAAGCGCCTGTCCAGGAGCAAGAACAAGGTGCGCAGACCGCGCGGCTATGTGGTCATCGATGCGCCCGTCACCGATTCCAGCGAGGATGAAGATGAAATGGACGATGAGTTCAAGGTGTCCGATGTGGGCGGCACCACGAGTGCAGACAGCGATTCGGCCGACTCCGATGTCAGTGAGAAGAAGAAGGAGAAAAAGAAACCCGGTCGTCCTGGACGTCCGCGGAAGAAGCCGTTGAAGAGGAATCCCGAAAGCGATGAAGAGCCATCCAGCGCCCCGAAGAAGAAGTACCAGCCGTCGCCGGGTGCTGCCGTGGGTCCATTCGAGTGCCCCAAATGCGACTTGACCTTTTCGCGCAAACAGTCCTATGTGCTGCACCGCAAGACGCACGAGAGGATAGAGCATGCCTGTCCCATCTGCGGCAAGAAGTTCAAGGTGGAGTGGGCCTACAAGACACACATGCAGCGGCACGAACAGGAGCGCGCCCACTTCCGCTGCGAGCTGTGCCCCAAGATCTTCCGCCTGCGGGCCGAGTTGAAGTACCACATGGCCCAGCGGCACGACGAGCATGGATTCATTTACGAGTGTAAGCGCTGCCAGCGCACCTTCCTCACGCAACAGCGATTGCAGCGCCATCAGGCCGCCGGCTGTCAGCGCAACAAAGAGGAGTCGACAGTTCGCATCAAGGAGGAGCATGTGCGCATCAAGCAGGAGCCGCGCATCAAGGAGGAGCAGCGCATCAGCCATGTACACGTCCAATCGCACTCGCAGGGCAACAACAGCGGCAGCATGGGCAAACGTCGACCCGGCGAGGGCAGGGACCTTTTCAAGGCCGTGGCCCCACCCACCACCACCTACTGGAGCGATAGCTTCTCGGACTAAGATCAAGGTGCGGCGGCTCTGCGGGGACTTCTGTTATAATCAACGATTTTAAGTTTACCCTAGCTGTAGAAAAAAGAAATCAGTGCAAATAAATCACATTTGTAATAAATACAAAATAAAATAAGTGCAAGTTGACGCTACTTGTAAACTTCTCCAACTGAAATAAGTAAGCAAACAATAAAATAAAAGGTTCGATTTATGGCAAATTGAGATTACCGACTTTCATTTTATGTGGGTGTGATAGATACGCTATTGTATTTCAAACTCCGTCCATTTTTTTCCAAAAAATTTTAATTACAATTTCATTTTAATATTTCAAGCCGCAAATATATATCAAAGTATTTTTCATTTTTAATTGTACATTTAAAATACATTACGTTTTTATATTAAATTAAAATTATTTCAATTGTATTTCATTATTACATTTCATGCCACAAATATTTATTTACAAATTTTTTGATTTTCTGTTGTGCATTCCAAAGTGAAACTAGTTAGCTTGTTGAACCCGAATGGTTTCGCAAGTGAGAAACTACATATTAAATTGTGCAGATATTGTTAAATTGATTCGTTTTGTGCATTTACTTAATCGCCTTAAGTCGAGAGAACATAAACTGAAAAGGATTTTACTAGGATTATTGTTCGTACTTCAATTTTAGTGACAATTGTTGTCTATGCTATCACTTTAACTTAGATAATTCATTAATACTTAATGAACTTGCCATCCGCATCATGCATTTTACAACAGCTGAAGCTACTTTATATCGTTCATCGCAAACCATAAAGGGTCTAAACGAACTATGCTTCATAAAATGTTAACATAAATTCTCCGCTGGCTGCAAGCGCACTATTGTATTTGATGCAGCATTCTCGTCCAAAATGGTTTCCATTAAAGCCCCTAAAGTGGTCGCCAAAGTTGGGACTTACGAAATGAGGGCATTTAATGCTTTGTTAGAACGCGTCCACCCCAATCATGGCCATCATTTTGCTGGCTAATGGTCATAATGTCGCGTGCGGGTTCTAACTACGAGTGTATAACTGCAGGGATTATATTTGCCAGCACATTTAAGTTGCCAACAGAACTGCAGCTTACATACATGCAGAAAAATTATATGAAAAATTTATGACTATTCGAAATTTGAAACACTTTTAGTTTTTGACAATATGAATATTTGAAGAAAGGCTTATAAGTTGTATACATTGCAGTGGTGTGGCACAGGCAAACATAATCTGAGTCTTATAAGGCCCAATAATAATGTATAATTTTTAGAATGCAAATTAATATATTCAGAATACATTTTTTTAAGTACACTAACATACACGATCTACGAAGGCAAAAGTCTTATAAAGTCTCGTGTCTAGATTTTATATATTATGGTCAAATGATTTTTTAGATACTTCATATGGTATTCTATAATTTTCTTAAGGTCATTATTTCGGGAACAATCGATTTTTTTTAAATATTTATATATATTTTTTTAATATAATATTGCTGTGACATGTTTAAAAGTAAGTTTAAGATACTCTTAGTTTTTTTTAGAGTACAACTGAATAATTCTTAAAATTCTTTAGATATTTTTCTGGTACATTCTGATGTTTTTCGACTATGTTTATTTTAATTTTTTTGTTCTTTTTGTTGAATAGTTGATGTTGTTAAAGAAATGTGTAAACTATTTTAGTTTAGTTTTGTCTATCTACCCCGTATTTCTCCTCCGTGTATGCCAAGAATTCTATGTAAATCCTGGCCCCAAATGTGTAAGAGCAAACTGAAAGGCAACCGCACTGGATCGACCACAACGTTTATTTACAAAGCCAACAGAAGATATTCGGGCAGGAGGTCCGATGCAAAAACGAAGTTTGTGGGATTGCTGTCGCGGGTTAAGGGTAGTTCGCTGATGTTTCAGGTGCTGATGGTTGCTGGTGCTGCTGCTGATGCTCCTGCTCCTCCGTGGAATAATTTAAAAATGGTGAATGGAATGATATGTGGGCAGGTGGTACGACACCGAGGATATCGGATGGTGGGCGATCAGGGGGGCGTGCGAGATGAGTGGTGCGTGGGAGATGAGCGGTGCATGCGAGATTATCGGAGCATGGTGCACCACCGTGGGGGCGGAGATGTAGTGCGAGTGTGTGACCAGTGGGGCGTGGTGGTAGCCCAGCCCCAAGGACAAGCCCCGCTTAGTCTTCACCGACGACTCAGGAGCTGGTGCGGGTGCGGCCAGGATACAGGCCAAGTTGGCGATGAGCAGGAGCAGCTTTTGCGTTTCCCGGAATTTTCCGTTAGCGTTTAATGAGCAGAAATACAGGAGAAAAATGCAGGAGTATTAGTTCGTGTCGTTCGACAAAACATTTACTCAAGTATGCCAATTTAGCTTACTGTGAATTTCATTTTGTTGGTCTATTTATGATTTATGGTGATGGTGGTGGTAACTGTTTGCGCACTGGCTTTAATTCAACTAACGAGGCTGGCAGTCAGAACCACTGTATTTATACAAATCGCCGAGCGGTGCGTGAATTGTTAGGAACTCTCTCAAAACTAAGTCAAACGCACTCATTAGGCAAAAGCTATTTAGACCCAAAAATAAAGTAAAAATCCCAATAGACACGCATTGAGAAAAATATGCCCACATCAAGCCAAAATTGAAAAACAAGCCACTGAGCAACTCAAAAAATGGACAGATACTATACATGTGTGTGTATGTGCGTGTGCGAGTGCGGCTGAGTGTATCTGAGTACCTACGTATCCGACAGAACGCCACAGCCAGTCCACATAAATTGGCTTTTAATTCAGCAAATTATTTGGAGTACTCACGTTGAGTGCGAATTGCCACTATAAATTATCGGCAGCTGCAATGGTCCATAAGATCATCTCAATAAATCGAATTACTAAATGCCAAAACCATAAATAAAAATCATTTTATATTGCTTGCCACTTGTGAGCAATTGTGAAAATGACTTTTTGCCAATACAACATGGGCAAGGAATTTATATATGGCATATTTTAAGGCTTGTTAAAATAGTTCAATACAATTGAAACATTTGGTTTAATTTGTAAAGCGATTAAAATACACGAGTGAATAATTTGTGAATGAAAATATATTGCAATTGTTAACGTAACACAAAGGACACAATATACCACAAATTGAATAATATTTATTTTTCAATCATAGGCTCATTGGCACGTACAATTAAAGCCAACGAATAAATGTAACAATTTATTTTGGTTTTCTATTGAAAATATAGGTTGCGGCATATGCAAACAAGCTCTTATTTATTCTGTTTATAATCTATGGAAAATATGGCAAAAAGGTTTCCATGCAGCTGCCCATTTAAGTCCATGACAAATGAGTGAAATACATTTTCTATGCGTCTGAATTCCATTATGAGTTAAAATAATGTAAGCTATTTGTATACCATTTAATGTTTTTTTTTAAACGATGACAGAAACAAATGATTGCTTCAGTGTTTACCTAGGCTAATTAAAAATACCAATTTCAGAGTGCTTAAGGGGATTCGGATTCCGCTAAAGTCCCTGTTGTTTAGAGCATTTATGTGGTAGTTGCAGCTATTTAATGACCTTAATGTTAAGGCCCTTGTAATGGGCCACAAATGCATGGAAGTGAAAAGCTGTGGGATCGTTGAGTCAATTGGCCCAGCGGGAGGCTATATAGCCTGAGCTGAATTTGATAAGAGTCCTGTTTCCTCTATCCAATTTTCCCGCCGGAAAATGTGGTAATAAAAAATGAGGAAATACACGCATTTATATGTACGTACACTGAGGCACATCATTTAAATTAAGAACAAAATGTCCTGATTAGAATAAGAAATCCCGAATTGTTCTTAAAGTGATGCTATTTTATTATGTAAGAAAGGTCAAAACCGAAAGTAACAATACTAATAAAGAAACTTTCCGTCTTAAGAACTTATTTTGCATTAGCTCCAGACGAATTTTGAGTCTCTGAAGTGACAACCTAAAACATTAACATAAGGAACACAATATAGATGTACTTTTTGTAAACTGTTAAGAGTTTTTGAATCAAGAAATATTGTTTTCAAATCAAGACGTGACTTTCAATAAGATACCAAGTTTTAATCTGGTTCTGAGCTGTTCTTGAGTTCATTTTTCTTTCAATATTCTATTCTCAGTGTACACACATTTGACAGGCGGAACGTTAATTAACGGTTTGGCGAATGGCGGCAAAAGAGAAACAACAGCAGCAAAAGGAAAAGCCTGGGGTGCCATTTCTGTTTATCTGCAGCTGTCAGTTGATGGCGGCATTTTCCTTTTTGTGAGTTGTGGGGTTGTTGGATATCTGTGGGTGCGCCACCTGTTTAGACACATTTCTCAAGGCCACGTAATTGTGAAAAGAAAGTGACATAGGGAAAATAATTTCTTGGAGTCATTGGAGGTCTGAAAAGGAATCGCTAAAAAAGCTAGAAATTCCTTACTGTAACTATATTAAAATAATTGAGTAATCCAAAATTATTCTGATCATGTTTTTAATAAAAATAACTTCCATTGATAAAACTCTTTTAAACTTGTTGATGGCTTCGTAACTCGCCAATCGAGCTAATATTTTACCATTCCATTTTTATTATTATTTTTATTTCCTTAAGGTTTAAATAGCACAGGATTTGCGCTATTGAGTGTTCACTGTATATGATGGAAAATAAAATTTGGCGGATATTACTAAATGTCATATCCACTTCAAACGATTTATTTTCAGCAAAATAAAAGTGTCTTTAATAGCCTTTTTATTACCTTTATAGCAAGTTGAGTTCAGAAGAATTCCTTCCGTTTGAAATCAAATATATATTTTGTGGCCCGATTTCAATTTGATTGAATGCTGCTCACAGCCATAAAGAATAATTGCCCTTAACAGATGTATGCGTTTGACGAAAATAAAAGGCCAATCGATCAACATCAAATACCTGACAGAAATTGGTTCCACTGGCAGTGAAGTTTAACTCCAATAACTCAAAATATTGCAAGCCACATGTGGCAATGCAAAAGTGTTGCCAAAAGGCGGAGTTGCGAAATGAGTTGCGAACAGGATTCAGATTTGTATTCAGATTCGGAGGGGGCCATTAGCCAAATGCAACACTTTTGACGACATGTGGACACGTTGACTTTGATTTGGCCAACTGAGTGATCTGGGTAGCAGTGTCACATGCACAACAAGAAAAACATTTGGTTTATGAATTTGAAATACACATAAAATATATCCTCCTAAAGTATTTTTAAAATAATTATATATTTTTAGAACAGGACTATGATAATTTGTAAGAATAACTTTTTAATAACTCAATATTTTATGTTGCAACTTGAAAAGTAAACATGAATTCCATCAGTACTGACAAGAAAAATATTGCAATTATTAGAATAGCTCATAAACTGCTGTCAACTACACCTGAGAATAAAGATAAACATATTGGTTCGCTTCAAGATAGCAATTACTCTATGAAAAAAATGTATTACTCAAAAATATCCGATAGCATATCATTGAAACATATCACTGTGTATATCTGGACCTGCATCTCTACCGAATTAGATTTCTCTCTTGGTGCGTTGCCAATTAATTGCCCACAACGCCCAGGCAGCTTCGAATCGATTCGACAGGCAGGCAGTTGGACAGGTGTGCTCAGCTCCACTTTGGTCACTCAAAAATTGCATTATTTTTTGTTAATTATGCTGCACAGTTGCAGTGGTACTCGCTCGGAATGTCGACACCACATAACCATTTTATAGTTGTGCAATTGCATTGCAAACTGGCTGCCAAGGCCTTAGCTTGACAATCAGGGTTTTTTGATAGTCAAAATTGTTTTACATATCGACGAGGGGGTTCAAATTTCGATGGCTATAAGTCAGCATGACATTGCCATCCGTCAACAGTTTTCCAAATACAGAGCCAGGTTAACCAGTAATTTAAATAAACTCAACTTTGATGGCAGGGGTTGGAACTGGGTTAACCACTTAAAAGCAATTATTTCTACTCAAAATGTTTTTCATTCCAGCAATAGAGTTTTCTATTGTAGCCTTAAAATAATTAAAAACACGAACATAGCAAAAAAAAGAATCTTTTGTATTATTAAGAAACAATTAAAAATTTATTTGCATAAAAATAGCTAAAGTCACTTTTTGTTTCAGGAAAAAGTTTTCTGTTGTAGGCTTAAAACAATTAACAATTAACAACAGTAACAGTTAACAACAGTAAAAAAAAGCAGAAGCCTATCGATACAAATTATTTTGATGGGTTTGGCCGGATCAAATTCTGTGTTTTTATAGAGACTTTCTTTAAAAAGAAAATAAATCTAAAACTCAGTTAAAATCAAAATTTGTAAAGAAGCCTTCATGTGCGACTAATTTTAAATTACCCAACAATTAGGAAAATTAAGCGATACTGTCAGAACTTGAAAGCCGAAAAACATGAATTTAAAATCTACCAAGCTAATTCTGCGCAGTGTATTTTTCTGTGTTTTTCTAGCCTCTAATTAGCAGTTGGATATTACGCAAAAATTGGAATTATCAGCCTGCAATGATGCAGGATATCGGTAACATGGGCCAGACCCATTTGCAGCCCCGCGTGCTGTTCAATGAAACTGTTTTAAAAGACCACAAACTGACCAGTACCGACATCGAGAAATTCGTGAAACTGTGGCAGGAGTTTCAGATGAAGAACATAACCCCGCCGGTGGATGAATGCCAGGGCTATTGCCAGGGGGAAATTTACAACTGGCTGCGAGCCTACAACAGCATCCATGGATACGTTTCCCTGATGGTAAGCTAACTGTCTCCCAGGAATTTCGTATTTAAGGCAAACAAAGGCATATTTTGACTAATGATGAGTGGGGATGGCAGTGACGATTCATGAATGCAGCCGAGAAAGGTTCTCTGATGGATTCAAGGGACTGCTTCACCTTTGAACCACCCACCCAGGTCCAGGGAATTGTGATCCTTTTTGCTGAATTAAAGCTATTTGGTTCGCTCAGTTTAGCCATCAAATTTACAAATCAAATTAAGGTCCTTAAATCTAGGCCTTTTGTTTTTGTTCCCTCTTTTCTTGTCAACATTTTTTTGAAGGGATACAAATTACATTTGCTGTCTTTGTGGTTAAGGCGTTAATGTGTTTTGCGTCCGTTACATTTTAATTTCCAGACATTAGGTTTTTTGCCTGCTTTTCAGAAGGCAAATGCAGAAATAGCTTTTTGCTTGCTCACAAATTAATTAGCATCAACACAGCTAAGCCTTAGAATAGGATTAGACTTTTTTCGGACTTAAAAATTTGATTTTCAGTTTGAAGAATTTAATTTCATTAGCATAGAAGGAAATAGTTGGGGAAAAACTTACTCACAAAACGTTCGACAACAACAGTTAGCAACAGTTCCATTTGGCAGATGACAGCGAATTGGGAAATGTTGGTAAAAATGTAAATAGAATGGACCAAGTCAGTTGCGAGCTGAATGAATAAAACATTCAGCCGTTTGGGTTTCCAAGGGCAAAAATGGGGGGAGTGCAATCAATTGAAAGTATGTGAACGCTCCAAAACATTCGATTTTATAAATAACAGTCTTTGTGTTGCTTTTTGTTATTTGCTTGAATCACATAGATTTGCATATTCGGGACAATAGCGAACATCTTGAACATAATGGTCCTTACACGAAAGGAAATGGCCAAGACGCCCATAAACAACATCCTCAAGTGGTTGGCCGTTGCCGATATGTTTGTGATGCTGGAATATATACCCTACACTTCGTATCAGTATATTTATATGGGTCCAGGTGAGCGAATTGCAAATTATTAAATATTAACAGATGTCATCTTGATTCAAGTTTTGTTTTTCTTTGTCATTTTAAAGTCTTGGTTCATCTGTTTTTAGTTTTTGTTTGTTTGTTTGTCTTTACTACTTTAAAAGGATTGTCTTACACTGAGAAACAAATATTTATTGATTTTACGAATTCTTCAATTTAAGAAATAATAGAAATAGAATAAATGATCTAAGAAATAACTTAAGGCCATGCAACAAGCCATATCGCCTTAGGTCAGTTTTTTGGGTAACTTCTCCCTAAAATACATGAAACCTTTAAAGCCATGTCTGGGAATTTTCTTAAAATGGAGAAATGAAATATACTAAAGCAACATAAAATGTTGTAACAATTTATTTTTCTTAGCTTGATGTGTTAAAAACCAGCTGAAATTCTAGAGTTTCATGTTTAATTGCAGGTGAAAAAGATTTGAGCTACACCTGGGCGGTTTGTCTGCTGGTCCACATGCACTTTACTCAAATCCTTCATACGATTTCCATAGGATTGACCGTCACACTGGCAGTGTGGCGATATGTGGCCATCAGGTGAGCAGATCTTTCAGCCAGCTATGCATGCTACTCCCTGGGATTCAGATTCGCCCGTCATCCATGTAGAATTTGGGCACCGCCGATTCATACTCATGCTAATCCACACCCGCAATTCGTACCGACATCCGGCTAAACTGACTAACACATCAATGTGGCAATGTGGCTTCTCTTCTCTTCCCCCGTCTTTTGTTTATATATAGCCAAATGTTACCGTCTCTATTCCACAGACATCCGAATGGGGGCTGTGCCAACTTCCTGCTCGCACATTCCCGGGAGGCGATCCTCCTGCCCTTCATCCTGTCCCCGATCCTCTGCCTGCCCACGTACTTTGTGTTCAAGGTGCGCGAAACGTACGATGTGGACCAGGTCAACTCGGAGGCCATGTACCACGTCTATTTCGACAAGGATTCGGTGCTCTACAGGTGCGTTTTTTTTTATTTTGTGGTATTATTATTAATCTCAGGGCAAAAACAACAAAAGGTCTTACAGAAATAACTAGTGGAATAAGATGCCTGATTGAAATATTACAGATAATAACTGAATAATATTACAAAATCAAATACTGAAAAAATACTATTAAAACTAAACATAATAATAATATTAAAAGTACTAAAAAACACTTAACTTACTATTAACACTAAAGGCACTTAGAAAACTTTAAGTACTAATATAACTTATAAAAAGTTATAGTACTAATGATACATTCAACTAATCAAGGTTTTAAAGCTCATATAGTCATATATAGCTCATAAGTATTCTTTTTTATGGTTTTTATGTCTTGTTAAAGTACTAAAACTACTAAAAGTACTATTAACACTAAAGCACTCATGTACTAAAAATATAAAAAAGTACTAATAATAGTAATAGTTATAATAATATAAATTATAAGACCAATGATATTTACACCTTGTCAGCTTAAAGATTTCTGTAATCAAATAAAAATAAATAACCTTTTTTTATTTTTGTATCTTTTTTTACAGGTTCAATTTCTGGATACATTCCGTGCTTATTAAACTTCTGCCGTGTGGCATATTGATTGTGATCAGTGCAGTGCTCATGCATGTTTTGTGTGAGGCCTCGAGACGTCGTCTAAAGTTAAGGGACTACAATAATCCCGCAAAGTATGCCATCCAGCTCAACCTGACCGAACCCAAGTCTAAGAAGTGAGTACATATTTCGCACAGTGCCATTTTTAATGCATTACCTAAAACATGATAATTGTTGGTTATGGCAAACTTAGAAGTTAATAGTTGTTAAGTAGTTACCAGTAAATTTAAATGTTTTATAATCGCTTGTTGTGACATATTCTCTTTCTCTGCATTATTTATCTTTGCTTAAATTAAAAAAAATAAAGAAAATCCTGTATGCAAATAAAAAAACATTCAGGATTTTTTTTATTTTTTTAATTTTCGATTTACCAGTTTATATTTAAACAGTTTTCAACTCACGTCTCTATAATGCCAGTCCTTAAGTTTTTTATTGAATTGTTAAAGTCTAAGGACTTTATGGACGAGATTTCTCGGAATCTCCGAAGCGTTTTACTAGAGCAATTTCTAACGAAACGCTTGGCCATGAATATAATTTTATGGCATTTGAGCAATTTCCATTGAAACGCTTGGCCATGATTATAATTTCATGGTATTTGACAGAAATTAACAAGGGTAAAAGGAAAATCATGGCCAGGATAAAGCTCTTAGATAATGTTAATTAATTAATTGTTAATTGCATTGTTTTTTTCAATCGTTTTAGGCCTCCTCGCTGTGATCGTCGCAATGATCGGACTACTCTTCTACTGGTGGCTGTACTGGTTCTGTTTCTGATCACCGAATTCCCGCAGGGATTACTGGGTCTTCTGTCCGGGGTGATGGAGAAGTGCTTCTTCGCCCACTGCTATCCGCCCTTTGGCGAACTGATGGACCTCTTGGCCCTGATCAATGCCGCCGTGGGATTCGTGCTCTACGGATTGATGTCGAAGCAGTTCCGATCCACCTTTAGATCGCTCTTTATGAAGCGCCACTTTGGCAGCACCGAGATGACCCGGTTAACACGAGTTACCACAACATGCGTTTAAATTCGGGGTGGACAGAGTATCTCCTAGATGTGATCAAAACGAAGGCGATTATTTACGAGGATTTGGTGAAGGACATCCAAGATGTTCCAGGCTGGCTCCATTTGAATTTCTAAATTATAAACTTTACAAAAGTTTCGTTAACTTGAATAACGAAAAAAGTATACTGTGAGTGCGGGATAAATTTGTACACTGGTTAATGCACCGATTAATTGATTTCTGCTTTACCTTCGTTGTCCAAGTAAATTTTTCTGAAAATTAAATGGTGCATTGATCGGTTCGAAAATTGATTCTGCTTGTGATTTGGCTGTTTAGAAAGTGCCACTTCATTTCCAACTTAATTACGTTAGCCAGTTGGTGTTTCAAATTCATATTATAGTACATAAGATTTTGATAGGCTAAGGCAGTACAAACTGTACAAATACGAGACATTTACTTTTCACTAAGGCCAAACAAACGGAATCCATGAATGTAACTATAGCTATGCTAAGAGGACAGAAAAACTCCATGAGCCCCGAGTTGCTTTTTCTTCTTGGCTGTCAATATCAGAATTTATTTTGGTTATACTTCGATTACTGGATTCCAGTTGAAAGTCAATGCATTTTACATTGGCTTTTGTTTTGCAAACCTAATCGTGTGTATTAATTAAGCTGCTTGACCTATTTATAAATAATTGTGAACACTTTCAAATAAATGTTTGATGTGAGTTACATGACAAAGAAATGTTTATTGCTTTCTATTACAATTACTTCTTTAATTCTGGCTAACTACAGCATTCACTTCCAGTGGCAGCTCATCCGGCAGGAGTTCCCTGGTTCGATTTTGTCCCATATCGGATTCCTTCAAATCCGCCGAGTCCAGCAGGATACCATTACCCTGATTCGAGATTCGCAGCAGGGATTTCAGCTTGGTGGCCTGGAATTTGTACTGCGGGAAATGGAAAGGGATAAAATCTAGGCTTCAGGGAGCGCTCCCCCAGAGAGGCTTCAGTGCGAGGAATTTTCGGATTAATTTTACTACACTTTGTGGCCAATAATACGGTGGAATTCACTATTCACGTGTCGTTGCATATAACCACTGGGTGTGATGGTATTCCGGGCGACTTACTTCCGTGGGCAGCAGCAGGTCCTGGGCCTGGCTCATGAATCGGTTGTACTGCTCGGTGGCCAGGGCTAGGCGTCCGGTTTCATAGCAAAAGAGGGCAAAGTTCAGCACCACCAGCGGATTGCGAACGCCGCCCTGTTGACCAGTTGCCATGGCACTGGCCCTTTCGAGGGCCACAAACGCGTTCTCTACATCGTCCAGCTTACGCAAACACACTGTCCAAGCAAAGAGTTTGAGGTGTTATTTAGGCGAATATTCGGTAAACTCAAAGAAATTTAGTTTGCCCTTAATTTGTAAATTATTTGCATACCAAAAAATTTTGAAATGGCATGTAAAATATAGTTGATATCATGAAATATGAAATAACTAATGAATCAAAAATTATTTTTTTTTTTAATTTTTTATTATTCAATTTAAAAAAAGTTTTAACAAAAGTGATAAGTTCTTTAATAACAAAATTACGAATTTTTTGACTTTTTGACTTATTAACTAGAATATGGAAAAAAAACAGTGCCTAAGTGTTAAAGTTTTTCGTTAACTTGTTACAGCGTGCAAAATTGATAATACTCTATTAGATTATACTCTTAACTTCCAAAAAAGTGAATTTTCTTTTAGGCAAAAACTTCTTGTTAAATCTTAAAATTTAACGCAAGTTTCCGTTAATTTTTTAAAGTGCAGTTGTGCAAACTTACGGCCCAGGAGCATGTAGCACTCGGCATTATCCTTGCGCAGGTTTATGGCTGCGGCCAGCGAGTGAAAGGCACTGGCGTATTGTTCAGCTGCGGCCAAGACGGGGTAAACAAAAACAACAGATGCTCTTCTTAACGGAAGTAATGGCAACAAACAATGCTGGTGAACAGCACCAGCGAATGGCCTGCGGCTCGGACTTTTCTTGGGACTTTTAAGAAATTTATTAAAAACCCAGCCCATAGTTTTCCCCTTAGCCGTCTCAAGTGAATATTTGCTCTCACATTCCACCCTTTTCACATAGTTAGTAGTGTCTCTATTGTCTCTGTTTATTCTGGGTTTCATTAGGCCAGATTCTAGTTTTCCTTTTAGGAATTGTATTGACCAAATCACGGCAGAACTCACATTTTAGCAATATTCCAGGCCATAGTTTTTTTGCAATTGGTCAACTAAAGGTCACTCATCTGAAATATCAACACAGTTTCCTAATGTTCTGTCACATAGATCCACAAAAAATTTTTTGGTTAGTATTTGCCATGGTTTGTGTTTCAACGAATTCTATTTTTATTAGTTTTTTCATGGCATGAAGGTATTTCGGTGTGGCAGAAAAGCTTTTATATTTTTGTTTCATTTCCTTTTAGAATGTTTCTAACAACTCTGTCACAGAGTGAATTTTGCCCCACATGTATATGCATGTTTGTTTATACCGCCCTCACAAAATTTAAGTAGAAAGTGTACAATCAGTGTCGTTAAATTTCTGAGTACTCACAGGCAATATAAATTAAACTCAGGTTGTACAGAGCATTGTAATTAAGCGGCGAGAGCCAAACGGATTTGCGCAGCGATGAAATGGCCTGAAAATTATAAAAAAAAAACGTTTAAATGCCAACCGAATGCGGTACCTGGGGTACCATTCCATTACCACAATGAACTTTTGCTTCTTGAAGAAGCACAATCCAATGTTGTTCCACAGCTCGGCAATTTCCGGCTCAGCGTTTGCGATTTGGCTGTATTTGCTGAGGGCGCCATCGACATCGTTGCGGGACTATAGAAAATGTGAACAATAAATATACATTTTTATTGGGATTGAGATTGCGATTGGGTATCCATATCTCACTACCTGCAAAATGGCGCCAAAGGCCAAAAGTCCCTTGGGCGAGCATTTCCTCTCGATGCTGACGACTTCCGCCAGACGATCGTGTGCCTTTTGCGTCTCGTTGATTTTGAGGTACAAAACGCTGATTTCAATCAGCACCTCCGAGTTCTCAGGTGTCAGGCTGAAATGATGGAATGTTCATAAGTGAGTTGCCGGCAGCAATGCGAGTTATTAGCTACTAACTGCAGGCAGGTTTCCAGGATGTCAATGGCCTTCTGGTACAGTTTGTCCCTGCGATATAGCTCCGCCAAACGGACGTAGCTCTCCAGTTTCCGCCCGGATTGAACCGCTAGTTCGAAATATCCTCGGGCTTCGTCCTGCTGCAGGTTTGCCAGGTCCTTTTTGCTCTGGGTTGTGGCCGCGCGATAGAGCAGTTCGCCCAAATAATGATATATCTCGTGGTCCGGCCGACTACTGCGCTGCTCCGCCTCTCGAAAAACTCCCAGCGCCTGACTAAAACGGCCCATTATGTAGCTGAAAGTGGAGCGGCTTGGCAATTTCAGTTTTACCACGCAAACAATGTTTGGGTTCCTCTTTGTGTGACCTAAAACCTAAACCTCAACTCTGAGTTTCATAACGTTTTAACGTTTTTACTTGTTTTTCAAGCTAATTAAAACTTTAACCAGTGATATATGGTACTAAGCATTTGATTAAATGTATGGCAAAAAGCTTGCTCACTCAAATAAAATCCTAAAATAAATGAATACTTAAATTTTTAAGCGTATTTCCATAAAACGCATATGCATAATAAATGCATAAAAATATGAATAAAAACACGCAAACTATGCTGAATATAGAGGTAATGTGATTATAAATAGGTTATAATAATAATCCATAGTTTTGCACCAAAGTTATGAATAACATTAAAGACTTTAAAAAATCAAACCAACAAATGTTTATATTCCCATTGCCAATACAATTTGTTTTGTTTATAGAGACTTTGATTAAGGAAAGTTGGAGTTCTTATCAATAAAGAGCAAAATGTTGTCACAACTATATTTTACTCACAGTGTTCGGCCGATTTCCTTGTAGGTCTCGATGTTCCTTGGATTGAGCTCCACCGATTTTTGCAGGTGCCGCAACGCCTCAATGTTATTGCCCTCTTCGCGGTCAATTAGGCCCTGGCGAAGGCAATCAATTAGAAAGGACACCCGGTATTAAGCTCAGCTCACCTGGACAAAGTACAGGTACTCGGGATTCAGATGGCGATTCAGCTCACGTTCGATGAGGCGGCGGCAGCGCGTGAACTCGCGGCGAGTAAAATAAATGTGGAGCAGCCAATCAATGTTGGCATCGCTGGGCATTTTGGGAGCTAATCGCAAGACGAGAAGGACAATGAAATAAATTTGAAGAAAAGTTTGAGGATTTTCATTTTTTCTTTCACCTGGACGCACAACCTCCAAACTGGGCAATTCGATGACTGTGCCGTTGCAGTTGATCTGCTCTGTACCCGGTTCGTACATGGATTATTTTTCTATTTTCCCTCGGAATGCTATGAAAGCTCAACTTCAAAGTGAACCCAAAGTGGTATCCGTTTGTTTTGGCCGTCGGCGTATTTGTTGTGAACCATTCGCGTTGCCATGGTTGTTATCTTTTAAGGGTTGCCAATGTCGACGGGCTGGAAATTAACTTGTTAACTGAATTAGTGCACGTTGTGGGCCAGGCCAAAAAAACCCGAAACGAGTCTAAGCAAATTCCGCGCTGTGTGTATTTTTAATTAGCTGTGACAAATAAGTCCAAAACCCATTCGAAACTAATCGAATTGCAATAAAAACAAGCACTAAAACTGGGTAAATAATTGCCAGCGACAAAAAAGCAAGCACACAGATCTTGGGATAAAACCAGTTCATTGGGTTCGTGGCGAAGTCCTGAAGCCTGACACCGCCTAATTACTCAATTTATTTCACACCGGCCAAAGTGGAAAACACTGTTGCACTCGTTTCCATTTCGGGCCAAGAGACAAGTGATCGTGAGCTACATTTCAAACTGTTTACGCTGGTCAGGCCAAAATTCAAAAGCAATTAATGCACGAAAAATATCGTACAAGATCACCACGATATCTGTATTGATCGATCGATTGCGGCACCGGTTTCAGATCTTTTGCGATCTCGGATCTTAAACGGGAAGTGCCACCTGACGCCTTTTTCTAAAAGGCAACACTGCGGCTACGTGTTTTTGGCTAGAGTTTGGTAGGAAGTACCAATGACCACGGACCATAAAGCTTGACAGTCATGATGAATTCGCTTCCAAATGGGGCCTCAAATTGCAGCAGATTAAAAATCAATTACGAACATGGCAGCCAACTAGAACAACATAGACTTAACCATGTTTATCCACAATCTTTTGATTGGAAATACAGTAAATATCAGCTAATAATCATACTGAAATGTAAGCTTTCGTTAATTAATATAAAATGAATATCGGCCTTTTATTAACAATGCCCATATCAAAACGAATTTTAAATATTCCGCCCAAAAGGTGTGCCCACCCTATGCTAAACAGAAAGTCCTGAAACTGGAAAAGAGTTTAAGCCGAGTGCTGCCAGATTTTTAAACTGAGATTGTGCGGCTTACACAGTTTATGTCGATAAACGTCAATTCTACAATTTTACTCATTATTACAACAATTCTACATTTAAATTTACATGAAGTTATAATACGCGTCTACTCTACAATTTTACTCATTATTACAACAACTCTACATTTCAATTACCATGGAATTATTTTACGCGACAGTAAAAAAGTTTCCAATTTTACCCTTGTAGATGGCGGTAGTAAATTATTGCTGCCACCTGGCGTGGATAGAGAAAAGCACTAGATTTCGAACTGAACATATAAAGAGAAACAAATTTTACCGAAAGATCAATATCTTGATATTTTATATAAAATTGTTTTGTGTGTTCAAATTTTGTATAGAGTTTTTCGTTTTTGAAGCTATTTTTGTAGCTGGTTCTTAGACGTCGCAAACACAACCCTATTTAATTTTTTCTCGGGTGCTGACTTTTTCCCTGTATGCAATGCATCCCTATATTGATTAGCTAAGGCCTTGGACTTAGTGATTTATTTGTGAAAATATATATAAATATAACTACAGACTAGGGCTGGGGAATATCGTGGTTAATGGCATAAGTTTTATTTTAGGGGTTATTTTTTGACCTGTAAAAAAACTACCTTGATACCCAGTCCCAGCGTATTCATTATCCTATTTTAGCGTCTGTATAGCCAGTATATATATCTTCGATCCGAATAACTTGTCTTAAAAAGTCAAACAAGTGCTCTTTTACGTAAAGTTAAATTCCCTCTTGTCTTGATGCATGCTTTTCTGCCCAGGCAGCTGGTGGTGCTTTGAATGGGGGGACGGCCTAATTCAATTACTGTACCACTGTAAATATGATTTACACCCGACGACACTTCAGCATGACCTCTGCTAGGGGGGTGGGGAGTATCTTCGCATATCTTACGCACATATTTGTGCGGCCAAAGGTCATAAAAAATCGACTTACACAGCAATCCCAACTCCACGAACATCCGTCTGCAGGCTGAAAGAGTCATTCATGTGGATTGCAAGAGCCGCTCACGTTTGTTTTCCCCCTGAAAGGACGTAATTCACTGGGAAAAGCGACGGAGACGAGTCGTAAAGATATGTATTGTGCAGCAATACGCGACTTGGCCTAAATCTGGCTTTGGCTTTCACTTTGGCCTGTTGTCTTGTCCCAATTTATGCATTGCCAGTGCCCACTTTATTATTTGAGCATGGGTTTTACGATTGTAACGCGACGGACACCTAAATAAAGTCATGGCCGACTTGTTTACCAAATTGCCGTCTAGTCCTTTACTCCCACTTTCCCCCAAACTTGTTGGGCAATCTGTGCGCAGACAAGAACAGGGAAAACATTTGTATATGCGTGAGTGACCCAAATAAGTATGCTTTGTTTCTGCGACCCCCATTTTTTCGGGAATAAGGATGTGCTCCACGTTGGGCGCCACTTACGATAATATTTAATCGCAAATTGATGTTTACGCGTTCGTTGGTGTCTATTCCATTTGATACACAAATAAAAATAAACATATCTTTCAACACAAATGGTTACAAAACACTACTTATTGATTGTTACACTTTTAGAAACAAAATTAAATTAAATAATGTGAATTCCGAAAACATTATTTTCCTACAACTGGTTTTAGGCGCAATTAAAATATCAAATTAAGCATTATCGACTTAATGTGCTTCTTTTTAATCAAACATACATTACTTCACAAGTTTCAATTACTTTTTTCTTCAGTTTGCTGGGCTTAAGTGACATGATGAGCTCCATTAATTACAAAGTATATTTGCAAAAATATATATTAAATATGTAACAAAGATAGAGTAATAAGTTTATAGTTTTAGTTTTATACATTTTTTTTCTCCGTGCATGTATATGCTGTATCTGTATAATGAGGCATTGTTGTTTGCTTTCCACTTGTCTTTGACCAAGATATCCTTTCGCTTTTCCTGTTGCCCAACGTGTGGCATATTCAATTTACTGCTGCCACACTTTGGTTGGCTAAATCTTTGACACATTTCGCAGGGGGCCAGAGTTGATGGCTCTGTCCCATTTTCCCCTACTTTCGCCCCGATGTTGGCATTAGCATAACTATGGAATGTCAGGGACAGCAAGCAGAAATATGTTTCGGTTTGAAAATTGACAAAATTTGACAAAAATGTACATATACACAGGGCGGATGTTGTGCTCTGTGTGTGCTTGTGTGTATGTGTGTGTGTGTGTGTGTGTGTGTGTGTGTGTGTGTGTGTGTGCGGTGGGAATGCCAATGAAAGGCACTGGGTGATGTGGCCTGCGTTTTGGTGTCCTGTGTCCCGAATAGCTGAAAGCTGAAAAACTCTGTAGCTGGAAAATATGCGTGCTGAAGTTTTGCGTGCTGTCGCTGTAATTTATGTCAAGCCAAACAAAAAACAACGAAATTGTTGTGGCGCATAACCGAGAGCAGCACTTTGCCCACATTGTCCGATTCGATGCAGATATGCAAAAACCAAAAACAAACACAAGCCCAAACACACACACACCAACACAAAAACACAAAGGGAAATGGCAACACACTGGAGAAATAGATACATATACATATAGAATTGGATGCGGCGATGCGGAATGTTTATTTGCTGTAAAATTTGAGGCATGCAACGCTTATGAAATAGCTTTTTTTCGGCCAGGCCAGTGGAAATCCGTAGCTGCAAACCAAACGACCACTTCATGTAATAACTCCATTTGCTGCTGCTGCATGGCTCGATTTTAGAAAACATAAATGCAAATTGCTTTAAATGGCGAAATGGGAAATGCGATAGCCAGGCAAACATCAAAGTAAAATGCCCATCAAACATTTACCAGTTGAATTTCGAGGGGTTTATGGGCTATATGATGTAATTGTAGGCCCTGTGATGTTGCCTCTGTTAATTTGACTTTAATATAGTAAATAATGCAATTAGGCAGAGGTCCCAGCGCCAGCGAGTGATGGGCCCCCATAGAATGTGATATTTGGGTTCAATGAGTTCATCGACGGGTTAGGCGCCTGCGGGCGAGGTTACTTCTTCCCATGATTGATGAAACCACCACCACCACCACCAAACCATGTATCGAGTAGAATGGGTTTTGGGTGCCACTCGAGAAGCAACAGAAGTGGCTGCCTCACATCCAAGTTGCGGCTTTTTCGGTTACTGAATAATAAGCAGGGGCCAATGGGGCCAAGTCACTGTGTGTGTCTCCTAGGTTGCTCTTCCTTCCTTCCATTCCAGCTCCAGTATTACAGCCCCAACCCCGACCCCAACTCATCCCCCCACCACATGTTGAAAAGTGAGTTCTGTGCCGTTAATTAATTAAATTGTCATACCCTCAGGGCACCACAGCGACAATTGAGAAATCTTCAGCCCGGTTGCCATTTGAACTCCACCTTCGGCGGCAAATTGGTGCCAGAACTCAGAGGGGTACTTTTCCCGAAAAATGTAATGAGCTCGAGTTACTTTTAACCGGAATTCACTGGCAAAAGCCGCCTCAGCGGCCCCATAAATAGTCATTTATTGAATGAACCAAATATACATATTCGACCACTATTTTCTGTGACACTCACGCTCGTATTCTGCCTGCTGGCTGATTCATTTACGAGCGATTCATTCATAAAAACCGAGTAAATAATTCAATTTAGATCGAATGCGTCATTTTCGTTTAATTAAACGATCACGCAAGCTTTCAACTAGGTGATACCTGGTCATAGATATTAAGTATATAAAGTGCTCACTTAAATAATTAGAAATTATCTAATTTGCTTACTATCAAAGAAATAGTGTAGAAAAAGTAAAAACATTGCAAACCTAAGTATAAATATATTTTGAAAAACAAACATATGTAAGCCATTTTTCTCCTATATTGAATAAGAAAAATGTTATTTTTCATAAAAAAAAGCTTTTATTACGTGTAATTTTAAATTTAAAACTTAGACTTTACCTTTGGAAGACAT